CTCAGAAACAACCAAGACTATTACAACCCTATAGACACATAACCTAACTAAATCCCTGAAAAAATATCTCATATAAACCAAAAGACCCAATAGTCCAAGAAGAAGAAAAAACAGGAGTCATGTACAACACATAGTGTAAGGCAGGCATGTCAAACTCGCGATGTCACGTGACATCGTGTGACGTATCATGACTTTTTCCCCATTGCTGGCAATGGGCTGGATGCAGTTTTGGCGTGATGCATCCGGCCTGTGGCCAGCAGTTTGACATGCCTGGTGTGAGGTGTCAGTTTTAAAAATGAATGTGGCTGTAGCCATTTTCCCTATTCATTTTTGGTTGACACATAGAAAGGGGGAGGGGGGATTGCCAGGTGCTTGGCTAGTCAAAATATTCTTTTGTCCCATGAGAACCAAGGTCATTGGCTGCTCCCGAGACTGCAGGCTGGGTGTTTTGTGAAAAGCCCGCCAAGAAGATATATTGGGGAACGTAGTTGCTTGCATAGCTTTAGAGGTGGGATTTCTTAACTTTGTATTGGGGAATTGTTACGTGTGTCTTCAGACTTGGTTTCACTTTTGATGTGCTGATACTTTGTAACTAATAAACATGTTCTTCGAGGAATTTCCAAGCCTCGGAATTCTGCTTTATTTGTCTCTGTCTATCAGAACCTTGACATACAGTAGTGGCCAAAATTGTGGAAACCTTTTGGGAAAAGTGTACAGTAGAAATGCCACCTTTGGTTAAGTTTCCACCATTTTTTCTTCTAATTTCTTTATAACTGTAGCTTTGTTCATTCAATAATACTATTTTACATCGCTTTCTGGGCAACCAGTCAACTCTTTGCACTATTAATTTAATTTTATTACGTTTTACAAGCTCACTAAATGAAAGAACACAAAAAATCCAACCAACTTGATAGAGATCACATAACACAAATGTTCTCCTCTCAGCTTCAATACATGACATCAATAACTGAATCCTACTGTGATCTTATTGGCTCATTGCCAAAACAAGATGACACTTGATTGGCTCTCTAAACACTCATGCTCATTGGCTACAATCAGATGAAGGAAAGTTACCTGATATCAACCTAAGGAAGTTGTGCTTCCTTTTTCTGGTTATTTGGCTATAACCTTGCATAGAATACAATACAGATAATTGAACAAACTTTGTTGCATTACATTCTTGATTAAATTATCTTTCCATTGATATATAATTTTATAGTACTACTCCCCCCCAAAAAAGTGGTGTTATTAGCCATCAAACTTCAAAAATACACATTTCCTAAAAGGTTCCACAATTTTGGCCATTACTGTAAGGACTATAACAGCCACTATGTAGGAACAAGCAGAAGACCTGCCGAGTGCATCCATGAACACCAACTAGCAGTTCAAAGACAATGAAAACTCACAACACATAGAAAGACTCAACCATAGTTTCAATTGGGAAATCATAATCATCCTAGACCAAGCTAAATCCAAAAACCCAAGACAATTATTGGAAGCCTGGCATTCAGATAAATCAGCTATCAATAAACAGAGAAACAACCCATATTTACACAGCATTCAAAAGAGACAATAAAAAAAGCTAAGATGGAAACACAAAGATCAGAACACATCATCTTCAACATCTAGATAAGTAGGAATTATCACCAGTCAAACAAGCAAGGAGAAAACAATAACCTAATCAAAGAACTATCAATGAGAAAACAAAACCCCCACCAATACTGGCAGGATAAGCTACTGTATATAAACAGGGAGCAAATCCCATATTTACCTGCAATGATTATGGTACCTAGTCAGGTAATGAAACTGTGCAAGCAAACAATCAAGCTCAAAGAACACCAAGGATTCCACAATTCAACCCTGAGCTACATATATACTTTTCTATAGAGCCATGTCTGATTATCAGCTACAAATGTTCATTTAGAATTTCAATAATACATTTTAGTTCAGACTTACTTAGGGCCAAAGTTACTGTCCAATGAAACACATAATGTATATTCTTATTCTGCTCCACCCCCAAGTTTTCAAATAGCAATACTGAGCCCATTAATTGGGATGAAGGTTTGGGAGAAGAGGATAAACTTTTTCCATCTTTATTTATTTTTTTTTTCTTTTTAATCTCTCTCACTTGCTATTTTGCCCAGACTCTAGTCAATTGAAACCTGGAGCTGAAAATCACAAGGATCTGGCCAATCAGAAGTAACCAACAGTTACAAAAATGAAAACTAAAGGGACAGTTACAAGAACTGGAATTTTTTTAAGAATTTCAAGTACGAGTAAGTAGTTGAAAACTGAAGCCATTTGTTGTTAAATGAACAACTATACATTTTTTCAGTATTTACTGACATATGAAAGGGCTGGAAGCAGCTGGAGAAAATAGATAGGTTCATATGTAAGATTATATCTTTTTTTTCCAGTTTCACTCTCTGGGGCAAAATATCAGTGAATGAAGGAAATTCTTCCTTCCTTCCATTATTCTACAGTATTTGTGCAGAGATGTCTCTCTTTGCTGTTATAATAATTCTTTTGAAACAGATGGCATCCTATCACATAACATCACACACAAAAGGTACTGTGGGTGATAAACATATGGCTGCTAATAGCTATGAAAACAAGTTCATTTTTCTTCTTTAAAAACATGAGAAATCCTTCAACTTTACAGTGCCAAAATATATCCTCTCTCATTTTGCCATTTGAAAATATTATAGGAATATGTTACCCCAGATAGCTATTCTTCAAAACTTCTGTAAGTCTTCTGTGCTTTCCCATCTAATACAAACTATCACACTGGATATATCCTCTCATTCTTTGCTAATACTTTAGACTATATAAAATAAAGAGTTATAATCAGTTGATTTAATATAATTTATGTTATGAAATAATTAAAAATACATATGATCTTTAAACCTCCCTTTAAAGCGTCTAGCAAATTTCATTGACACTATTGACAATACGGTAGTATGATTTCCTATCATTCTGAAGTTTGAGATGCACCAAGAAATGTTTTTCCTTTATCACTTTATAAGTATAAAGTGGCAAAAATACGTAACATTCCTTCCTTCTCATAACCAGATTCTCAGCACATTAACAGAGCCGTATCTTTAAAGCTGTTCAGAAACTCTAAAATAGGCCTCACCAATGAAAACAGCTAAAGTAGCATCAGCAACCACCACCACCATTACTATTTTTTTTTCAAAAGACCAACTATCCTAGAAATCCTTGAAAAATATATATTATTCTCTTATTCATTGTGGTCCCACTAAAATCATAGATACAATCTTGCTTACTCATACTGGAACCCAATTTTCATGCATACAATCTGAATGAGGAGAAATATTTTGGGGACCAAAGGATTGCCTCCATCTTTTGACAGCTACAGTAGGTTCCTCTGAGCTTCAGTTTTATTAAAATGAAATGAATAAATCAAAAGGAAATTGATTTATTACTGTCTCTGGCTGTGGCATATATTTTTGGTCCGTATTTAACGTATGGGAACAACTTTTCTGGTTTTAGTTAAAGGTGGCAAATAGTATTAATGAGATAAACAGTTATTTTAAAAAGTTATCTGTTAATTCTTAAAAAGCCAGACAGGTTGCTTTGTCTTTGTTGGGATCTTTTGAGATTGCCTGGTGATTTCCTTGAGACCTCTCAGATGGTCTCAACAAACACAGAGAGTTTTTAATACGTTGCAATTGTTAATTGGTAAGTTACTTAGTATCTGTCTTACATGTAACCTTACCTATAGAATCAACCTATCTTCCCTTCCGCTTTCCCTACCTCATCTTAACCCACTTTAATTCCTACATCAATCTGGTTACTCTATGCATCTGATGAACTGAGCTCCTGGCTCCAAAATGCCTTTTAATAAAATGTGTTGACTAGAAAAGGTGCTACCAGACACCCGGTTTTTTGTTGCCATACATTAACCTGGATCTCTTAGTACAATCTCAACAGAATACTGAGGTATCAATTGACTACAGTTGGAGGAAATTACAGTTAACTACAAAGGAGGAAACTAGAGAAGGGAGGATTAGACTGAATAAGGACTAACCTGAATTTAAGAAAATTCAAATTCTCAAATACAATCTAGCTAGAAACTGTTGCTTATGTATAAAAATAATTGTTTTACCCAATATTCAAACTACAATGCTTATAAAGATGAATACATAACACTATTCATGCTTACATAACATTATTCAAGTAAACCAGAGGGTTTTAGTAAAAAACACCACCGCAGGGAGAGTATACAGTATATAGGTAGTCCTTGCTTACTAACAAGCTCATTTAATGACTTTTTAAAGTTACAATGGTGTAAAAACTCGGCTGTACTGTGATTGATGTATTGAAATGAATATATATTTTTATTTACTTATTAGATTTGTGTGCCTCCCATCTTGTCTAGAGGTGATTTACAAACACAAATCCTTGCATCTATTGTGGTGTTCCACAATCACATGATGGCTACTTGTGTGCTTTACAACCAGCTTCCAACAAGCAGAGTTAATAGAAAATGCACAAGTAAAATTGCAAGTGATAGTCATGTGTCTTAATAATAATAATAATAATAATGATGATGATGATGATGATGATGATGATGATGATGATGATAAAGTTGGAAGGGACCTCGGAGATCATCTAGTCCAACCTCCTGCTCAGGCAGGAAGTCCTATACCATTTCAGACAAATGGCTGTCCAGTTTCTTCTTAAAAACTTCCAGTGTTGGCGCATTCACCGCTTCTGGAGGCAGGTTGTTCCACTTTCAGTGTTTCATTTAATAACTGAATAGGAAATGATCATGTCACTTTCTGCTGACTGACCACAGCGTCTAGTAATAGAATTGTTGATACCAATGTAGTAGCTAAATAAAGACTACTTATATGTTTGCGGATTGCAATTTTTAAAAAGTATAACTGAAATACAGAATTCCTCAAACAGGTTTTCTTTACCCCAATGTATCAGTTTGACATAACAGCACATAATGGAAAATGAATCTTACTTACCCTATTACAATACAAGAGACAGCTGTTCCTAAAAAAGCATATGCTAAAATGGATCCTAAATTGCGAAAAAAGTGTCTCTGGGAAGAAAAAAAAGATAAAAATAATCGTGTGAATGTTGTATATTTTATCATGTTATTTATTTATTTATTTATATCTCATCTCTATTATTTTTACAAATAACCCAAGGCAGCAAACCTATCCGACACACATTCCTCCTCCTATTTTTCCCACAACAGCAACTCTGTGAGGTGAGTTGGGCTGAGAAAGAGTGATTGGCCCAAGATCACCTAGCTGCCTTTCGTGGCTAAGGCAGAACTTGAACACAATCCTGCTTTCTAGCCTCGTGACTTAACTACTAGACTAAACTGTAATTGTACGCTTTAGTCAAATCCTACACTACCTTACTGGTTTCAACCACTTTTTATATTTAATTACAGTTGTCAATGCTTACGTTCCAGCAAGTAAGAAATATCTTCTCCAATACATATTTAAGGGTCTGGGCAATAAAACACATTTCTTCCAGTTGCATTGCGTAAATTACAGATAGAAGGGGCACTGCTGTTCACTTTTGGGATAGACCACTTAAATATAACCTTCCATAGAAGCAATATTGTTGAAAAGACTTTATCTGGACTATTATCTTAATTGTAATTTGAAGACTGACTTATTTTCAAAGTGTTGATATTGGTGTTGATATCAGAATTTTTATTAAACAATGGTCAGGTTATATAGTCTCAATATATCAAGAAGAGTGTAGAATATTGTGTTGTATCAAAAATTTAAATACCTTTCATTCTTTTTCATAACATTAATTGTGTGTTGTATTATTGTATTTGAAAGATCAATTTAGAAATCCTGAGTGATTTTTCCCAAAACAGAGAATGACTTGAAGTGTTTTGTGTACTGTATTGCAATATTATAATTTTAAAAATATCCAGTGAATGAATACAGCCAGGACTGAGGTCATAAACAGAGCCAAACTAATTTTTTTATGATTAGGTCTACAGATTTCCCAATTTTTATATTGCATACTTAATTTAACCAGTTGCAGGGAAAGTCTATATGGTTTAACTATTATAAAAAGAATCAAAATGGTAATTCAAAGTTGGAAACATTTTTTATTTTCTTTCTTTGATCTCTCTGGTCAAATTAAAACATTTTGGCCCTCATAATGCCCCAGTCATAGCCAGCAGACTGTCTGCCACTATTAAAAGAAACCACTTACCTTTTTTAAACTGTATCCTGCATGAAAAATAATGGGAGGTAATAGAACATTGAAGAAGATGGAAGGATCAAAGGTCATCTGCCAGAAAAAAACAAGAACAGATAAAGAAACATAAAATATTCACTAGGTGTTGTATATTTTAAAAGTATCACATTTTACATCATTAACATTTTACATCAATAACACAGATCAATATTTAAGAAAACATTTCTTTCTGATCCCTCACCTGTACTAAAATGTATAAAGAATGTCTAAAACATTCCTTATACGTACATTTTTAGTACAGGTGAAAAATGTAGAAGGAAAAAATGTATAAGACATGGAATGATAAAATAGCAAATCATGAATGAAGGCAAATACACAAGTCTCAGGATAATGTTATAGGACCCAATCTCAAGAGGTCACCGACTCAAATTGGATCCTGCAAATAGCAATTTGCAAATCTGCAAATAACAAAACACTCAAATGGATTTCAAAAGTAAAAAGAAGAATATTGCGACGTTTCATTTTCTGCAAATGCTGACTTGAAAGTGATTAAGAAAAATTTGTTTAATGTCCATCTGTGGGAACTCCTGTTAAAGCAGTGAAACTTTAGCAGCAAAGGCCTATATTTTTATGCAATTGTTATGTGACAGTTTCTGGAAGTTTGCTTGTTTGTTTATCAAATTTATTTTTAACATCTGTCTTGTAGTTCTGAAAACTCTGAGTGGCTTAAATCAAGAAAAAGCAACACATACTAGCAGTTATAAATATAAAATGGATTAACCTCACAAAAATTAAAATGAAGTTTAAAAAAAAGGTTTGGAGGTGTGAAGTGGGGTACCTTCTCTGTTAGTGTACCAACCACTTCTACCCAGCAGCTCCTTCAGGAACACACATTCCAGGTTGCCATTAACTGGCACCTGGAACCAGCCTGATATGTTTTGTTACTTAAGGCAAAGGGTATAATGTTTCTACGTCATCTATTCATGTACAGAACCCAGCTAGAGTAACAGCTGAATCTTATTTCAGTGTGGGGAATAGGGCAGGTTTTTTTCCTGCAGTCTGGGCAGCCAGCTGCTTGGGTGGCTCATGATTTTAGGGAGCAGATGTTGCCTGTATGTCAAGACTTGCAGCTTAACATAGCTGCTCCATTGTTTGGAATATTAGGGCCGTCTCTAAGAGCAGATGTGTTACCTACATGAGCATATACATTTTGGTACAAGCCCAACAAAGAATGTAAGAATGCTCCAGGGCTAAGGTGGGCAAATGAATTAACAGTGGAGTATAGAAATGTACCATGCATAAATATTCTCTGGTTTTTACTCTACCAGTTCTTATTCAATGTGATGAAAGGAAAAAATGCTTTTGAAATTTATTTCAAAACAGTAGCAATTAAATCCCTAGGGAAGACATTTGAGAGGAAAATTTCCAACTGGGGGGGGCTTCAGATTGAAGAACATGGAGAGTCACAGTAACATCAAAATGGTGGAAAGAAAATATCTTAGCCTCTTTACTTATTTGAGATTTATTTATTGCCTCAGTCCAAAATAAATTCTAGTTGATGTACAAACACAAATTAACAATAAAAATAATACCATAATGTATTAATGTATGTGATAATTAAAAAAAATGAACCAATGACTTCATACTAAATCAAACTTTTTCAAATGGTCAGGAAGTTTTTTTTTTATAAGCTTCCAGAAGGGTGAAAAGTGGGAGTCAATCTTGCTTTGAGGACCAAAATGCTCCAGAGGAGGGGAGACTTTACAACAGAAGTTATTTAATTTTTTGTGACATGACCCCTCTTCAGGAGTCTATTAAAAATTGTGAATTCCTTTTCATTTACTGTAGTGAAATTAAATCTGTAACTTTTCTGCTATCCATGTTCATAGATTCCTTGAAATCTATCCACGGATGTTCAAGATTCCCCGTTCAACTCTTGAGAGGAATTAATACAATTTTCACCCAATGCCAGCCCTGAATCCAGGTAGCCATTGGTCCAGATAATCCATTTCTATCAGAATTCTTTCTAATTTTTAAACCTCACTTTTCTCAAAACTTTCCTAAGAAGAAAGGGTTGGAAAGTGGTTATTCATTAACACTGGATCAAAGACTAGCTTTTTGAGGAGAAGATGGAGAAGTGCATTTTTCAAAGCTGTTGGAACCTATCCTTTTCTCAAAGAAGTGTTGACTGCCATGTGAATCTGACCCTTTCTCTAGCAATCTTGCTCAGTCAGATATACATGCATCACAAAGAATCAGTCCAATCTTTGAGAACCACAGACTCAAAAATCTTCTAAGTAACATGTAAAAGGATTAAATCTAATCATCTCATTAGACTCAATCAATCCAATTTTACAACTCAAGAGAAAATACAAAAACATTATCTAACCTTCAAAATGTTCAGTGATAACCATAACTTATAGCAACTGAACTTCTGGTTGGCCCTTCCCTAATATGATCTAGGACAAATTAATATCTGCCTTTTGAACGTTTTTTATTATTGTAAATCAATTTTATTTAACAAAAATATTAGTTGAAATTTCAGTAAGAGTGTTTCTACTCATTAACAGCAACATAAAATCCTTTGTTATGCTTTCTATTCCCACCCGGACCAACAGGAAATGCTTGGTACTATGGCAATGGTACTGCTTTGCCTCTAGGGACCTTTCACTTACTAGTGTTCAAGATACATAAATAAAGAGCAAACTATTGAAAGGAAATTTCATATCAGTTATCTAAATTGTTTTTTTAATCTGTATTGCCTTCACATTTTAGCAAATTATAATGTTGTCCGGTTTTGGTTTAGTGTATTGTGTGAACAGTTATCTGTGATTAAATAAACCATAATATAGTATAATGTATAAACCAGGTTACTGTCTTCTATATATTTTAGAAACATGGTAAAATAACCATGTAAAATTAAGATAGTATATCCTGTTTTACAGTAATTTTTTCAGAAATATATCTGAATAGATAGGAAAGTAGATAAAGAATTATACAAAGATGACTTGGGTTCAAATTAATAGTCTTCAGAACTTGACTGGAGGTGTAGTGATTTGAATGTAGTGAGTCTGTGCTCAGGACCCATTCTCTGGTAAAGCCTCCCCAAAATCAAGGGGACATTTGAAGAAATTGTCAGTTATGAATATGGGATGGAAGATGATTTCCCCTACTGATGGCATCCCAGTAACAAAGAATTATGGTTAGTAGTCATTACTCAGGTTGGATCTCCTGACACATCTTAGTCTTTCTAGTTGGGTGACTCTAAGGCCTTCTACAAATAATGTTCCCTTCATGCTAACTCTTAGAAAAATAAGAAATATTTTAAGACTTTTTTTCTTTCTCAATCTTAGAAACACAAAATGCAACAAAATCTTACGAAATTTCAAAGAACACAAGAGATTGTACAGCAACTGTGAAATCCTCTGTATGAAATGTTCACATAATTCATTTTTAAAATAAGCAGCATAATGTCCAGATGCACATACACAAAATTTGGGAAAAAAATGAGGAAAAAATGAAAAAAATTTAAAAAAATCTCACACAGATTTTCAAAGTTAATCAATGGTGTCTAGTGGAGTAAACTTTGAGGCTCAAAAGATATGCTATCTTAATTTTAGAAAGGATGCTGAGATGTTGTAAATCTTTCCTTCCTTGCTCTTTGCATTTGCTTGAGTGATTTTTCAAAAACTGGATTGAGCAGTAGTTGCGGAAGGAGAAGTACTGTGTTTTTTTGCTGTATTTCAAAGAACTGTGAAATAAGATCCTCTATGGCCCTGTTTCTCAACCTTAACTTTAACATGCTGGCTGAGGAATTCTGGGATTCTGTCATCTTAAATATGACAAGATTAAGAAAGACTACTTTATCGGGAGGAGATATAAGCTGGGTGTGGCCCAGAGAAAGAGAGAGAATGATGCAAGAATTCCCACAGCTGGGAAGGTCTTGAATTTCAGTGTAACAAAAGGAAAATTGCATTAGTTTTCAGTCAGTCATGTTGCAATTCAGTTGGATATAAATTGGCTCTACTTTCAACTGCTTCCAGCTTTGTAGGGGCTTGAAGCTGGCTTTAAAATAAGTCATCTTTTTGAATTTTCTTTATCATGCAAGAGCAATGCTGCTGAAAAGGTGGATAATAATAATAATAATAATAATAATAATAATAATAATAATAATAATAATAATAATAATAATAATAATAATAATAATAATAATAATAAAGTTGGAAGGAACCTATATGACCTCCAAGGTCCCTTCCAACATTATTATTATTGTTGTTGTTGTTGTTATTTATCTTTTCAGCAGCGTTGCTCTTGCATGATAAAGAAAATTTGCCTGCATTTTTTATACTTAGTTTTAATAACTATTTAACAATGTAAAACAGAAGCCCACTTTATAAAATATCATTTTAGAAGGATTTGAATTCAGCTGTAACTTCAATTTGTTTCTGCTAGATTAATAACCTTAAAAGCAAGAGTATGTCATTAGCCAAATGTTTTTGTTCCCATTAAGTGCCTTCCTTTTATGGGGTTATGATCCTAGATGAATTATTTAGTTCTGTAGCAATACAGACTACAAAATGACTTCCTTTTTTTCTTTTGTCCAGCAGAAAGCTTGAATGATAAACAGGAAGTGTAAACTCAGCATTTTTCAAAAAGTTCTGCATTCTGCTTACTTTGGTTTATTAAACTAATGTCAACTAGCTGGCCATTAACAGCAAAAGTACATTTTGCTGCATTGACATCTTTATGAGAGGAAATTGGGAACAAGAACTTTTATAATTGTTTGTACTGACAAATTCAAATCGTATATTAATCTGAAAATTAAACCAAGAGAAGCATTTTATTCACCTTTCTTCTGTAGCATGAGGCAGAATAATGACATGCCTTTTATTCAAAAATTGCAACATGCTCATAGCTTCAAATATAGCTTGGTGAAGAATGGCCCAGCAAAAAGGAAACTGGTACACTTTTAAGAAGCCAGATGTTCAAATTCTCAAAATCAGAAAATTATTATTGTAATCTACTTTCTGTAGTTGGTTTGCTATTTTATTTACTTATTGGAATTTCCTTTATTAAAAAGAAAGAAAAAGGATTACAAAGAGGACAATGAAATTTCAGATATTGTTTCCTAAATATTTTAGCCTTCTATAAGGCTAAAGCAGGTCACTCAGAATGTAACAGGGAAAATAACTGAGCAATTCAAATGAAAGAGAAGCCTCAGAGTGGTTTAGGCTTAGGAACCAGCAGGCTTTTTTTGTTTGTTTCTTTGTTTTTGTCTTGATGGGTCACAGGTTCCTGAAGAGAGTGAATGGTGAAACTTAAACTAGGAAGACTGAGAAGCAGCATTTTATCTTACAGAGATTAATAGCTTCTTTCTAATTTTTTGCATGACATGACTTCCATGTAAAATCTTCTCATATTCACCACAGCCTTTGAAGTGTGAAAGCAGGAAGGATGAAATAGATGTGCTTATTTACTTATTGCAAATAGACAATTAAGATGGGTAATAAACTTCTTGGGCTGCACATTTAAATCACTCTGATTCTCTTCTTAGGAGCATTATAATTAATCAGAAATAACAATAATATAAGATTACCTACACTGAGAAGATGTTATCTTACCTTTTGCAGCATTGCGTTCCCTTGGTGTGCATTGACATTAAGTTGGCTAATTTCCCTTCTGTACTGATATTCATACACTTGATTTGTGATGTTGACAAGCAGGGTGGGTAAGCCAGGCTTGAGTTTATCACAGCTATAGACATTTCCAATTTCAAAGTCAGATGGAGCTGTGGCATACCGTAAAATTAATCCCATGATGAGACCTAGAAAGGCAAGAGACAGTCCATGAAAATGAAAGGTTTTTCCCCAAAGCAAAATGGATGCATATGCACATACATGAGGGACAGCTGGGAGTAGCTTTGGAAGCAGCTACTCAGGGGATACTCTACAAAGCACCTACTTTTGTATCAGTTATTTGCCCCACATAGTTTGAAGCACTTCTTTCAAGTGATTTGCACAGCATCATGGCATATCAAAGCACAATACCAATAAATACCCATTCTCTTTTTAAAAAAGCATTTTGTGACACATGTAAATTGTGTTAAAAATAATGAATAATGAAGCATTTCCCCCTGAATACTACATTCCTGCCTTTTTCTTTTGATTTTTTAAAATTAAATATTACTTACAAACAAAATTTCCCAATTAGTATGGCCAAAAGTAGAATTATGGAAGTTATAGTCCCTATAGATCAGTGGTTCTCAACCTTTTTAATGCCGCGACCCCCAACCGGTTGTAAGTCGAGGACTAAACTGGTCGTAAGTCGAGGACTAAACTGGTCATAAGTCGAGGACTACCCAACCGGTCGTAAGTCGAGGACTTTCCCTGCCCGGGAGCACCGCGCATGCGTGGTTCCGCCCCCTGCGCCAGCCGAGGCGTAGCTGGCAAGTGGCAGAGACGGAGCAGGCCAACCACCAGCTGGCCCAGCTCAAGGGAGGTAAGGCACCCGCCAGAAAAGGTGAAAAAAATGGCGGACAGCCTTGCTTGGCGACCCCCGTGAAATGGTCGATCGACCCCAAATGGGGTCACGACCCATAGGTTGAGAACCACTGCTATAGATGATAGCACAAAGCTGGAGAAGACTTTTTTTTTTAAAAAAAAGGAAAAGCTCAGGTCATCAGGTTGCCTGTTGACCTTTAATTACAGAATTAAATGAGTAACAAACCCATAGTTCTTAAAAGTTTGTGTGATATATAATATTCCATTTATAGAATTCCATCCATGCTATTTTCAAAAATGAAAATGCAAATCTTTAGATCAATATAGAAGCTCTACTAATTTTAGATATATTGCCTACAATTTTTATGATAGTACAATATGCCTATAGATTGAGATCTCTGCAAACAAGACTCAGATTTTGATAGCAAGGAGGAGACAACCCACAGATCAATTGTCTGTGATATCCAGGTGTACTTATCTATTCTGACTTTGATCAGGAATAAGTATTTCATTTTCAAATGAAAAAGTTATTTTATTTTTCATGCTTTTCTTTCTGGTTGATCAGTAACAGACTTGAACTTTAAAAATAACACACCTCTTCCTTTATACTTCAAAGTTCAAACTATTATCATATGTAATAAAACTATTATAGGTCTGCATGAAAATATATTAGCAGTAGCAATAGCACTTAGACTTATATACCTCTTCATAGTGTTTTAGAGCACTCTCTAAGTGGTTTACATAGTCAGCATAGTCAGTTTGCCCCCAACAAACTGGGTCCTCATTTTACCAACTTTGGAATGATGGGAGGCTGAGTTAACCTTGAGCTGTCAAGATCAAACTCCTGGCAGTGGGCAGAATCAGCCTAAAACACTGCATTCTAACCACTCTGCCACCATAGCTCACCTTAGTTTACATTCAGCCCATTTCTTGCATCCCCATTTTTAGAAGTATTTATTTTGAACTGTATTAGCTGCTAAGAAAATCACTGCTATTATAACAGGCAAAAGAACAAACCTATATATTTCAGGACTTTTGAAATGATATTGTTGCTTCCAATTTGGATCTGAGCCTGGTGCCAATGCCAATGAAGAACAGTAGACACGAGATGCAGGTTTTGTTTCCTTTTATTGAAGCACTTTAGAAAAAGGGGTCCCAGCCAGCAAAATGCCAGGACCCAGAACAAGGATTAAGAAAGCTTTTTACAATTTCACTAAAGCAGAAGGAGGGGCAAGATATAAGAAATATCATCTAATAAAGATTTTAGTAATGATATAACAATTGTCCTATTGGTCTCTAGCCGTCCCTATTCCTAAGACTCGGCCAATGAAAACTTCAGGAGTTATCTAATACACATTCAATTTGCTCCCTATTCCTAACTTCTAGCTGAGGTATACAGGATGTGTAATTCTTTGTAACTGTTATCAGTCCTCTAACCACTTAGAATTGTTACAAGTGTTACACGTGCATATTCTCTGTGAATAAGCATTCTTTGTTCTTGCAGACAGATTCCACAATTACAGGCATCCCAGTTTTCTTTCAAGTGCATGCCATAGCCTTTAGTAGACAGCCCATCAATATGTGCAGCAAATTGCCATGTAAAAAAAAATTGATTGAACTATATTCTTTTGGTAAAAATGTCTCTGATCAGATTTTTTATGAAATTAGAAAGTATTATTAAAACTAGAATTATAATTTTATTACCAAGAAGAAATACTGTTTGTCAAGAGTTAAGGAATAAATAATGATTCTATAATTCATTGGTACACCTGTGGTATATCTTCTGTTAGGGTAATCACAGATAAATGAAGAATGAATAGGAAATCAGGCAGGACAAATCCACTTCCTTTCCATAATGTTCATATGTTTTCAGGGACAACTTTATTTTACTCTCTAATGATTTGCTGAATAAGACAGGGTTACATCATTACGTTAAGGCAATTTGTTTGATTATAATATTAGGCTAAACTAATAATAGTAACAGGATCAATTAAATCAGAATTGCTGATTCAGGTACAACACAAAACAAAATAAATATCAGCCCACTTCTTACCATACCTTACATTATTGTAAAGAAACCAATCCATTCATGAATATTTCAGAGGCACAACAATGGGGATGCAACAGGCAGTAACTCAATAGCATGTTGAATTTGGAAAGAAATAGGAAAGTGTTCAGGTCTAAACACTTCTATAGTTTTTCTATATTTCTTCTTAAAACATTTATTTTTAAAAAGCAAGGTACAAGAAATAAAAAAGATATACTTCATAAAACATAATCCTTTGTTAAAATATGATTCAAGCAAAAATAATTGTGAAATAACTAATGTGATGGCAAACAATTATTTAATATTTTCTCTTAATGAATTTATTTGCATTCAACTTATTCTTTAACAGGACTCATAAAATACTCCAATATGAATATATTCCTGACTTCCATCATGATTACATTTTGGTTTCATTATTTTATTGCACTAAGACCATGGTGGTAATCCATTATGCAGGAGTGGAGGTTGTGCTCTTGAACTTAAGTGACAAAATGAGGTGTTTTTAGTTTTCAAAATCAGGATACGGATGGAAGTGGAAGGCTTCTATGAGGCATCTGCTCCAATTTCTATCCTTAATATGCCCTTAATTCCATGGCAAATGTTCAAACATCTAATTTAAATGGCATCATTTCCAGATTTTGAATTATTTTGAAATACACAAATAAAAACATTCCAACTTTTAAACCTAATAAAAACTCAAGTACATAAATTAAGTATCAAATCTGGTACTTCCTGTTATATCAGCATCATTTTGGTAATGTCACATGCATCCCTCCAACCTGTGGAAGTGTTGCCACCTGTTGCCACCTGTTGCCACCTGTTGCCACCTGTTGCCACCTGTTGTACAGGTAGTCTTCAGTTAGCAACTGCTTTGGATAGTGTCAGTTCATAATTATGATGGTAATAAAAAGTTACTTTGCAATCAACACCCACATTTACGACCTTCGTCGCATCATGCACATTACAGAAGGTTAGGCCATTACATGTCCCTTAAGTTTTAAACAAACCATGATTTAGCAAGGTGCCTGAATTTAGTCACACACTGTTGTAAATAGAGGCAACATTATTTCTATATTGTATTCCCTGACACCTTTGATGCTGTCGGGCTTTTTGCCAACCTGTCTTTGAATTAAAAACATGAAATTTTTGCTTGCCTGAATGCCCCTGGGCTCTGATAACATCCCATTAGGGTGGCAAAAAGTATCAGTAAGGCTAGTTTGAGTTTTGATACATGCTGGCTTGTGACTGATTGATAGCCATTTTGTGGGTGTGTCCACTGTGAGCTTTCAAAGTGCCAGATGTGACCCTTTCCCCAAAGCTTTCAGCCCTTGGTTTCAGCCCTTGCTTGCAGGCTCTCACCTAACTTTCCCCTTCAAGGTACAGTGCCACCGTCTTGATTGTTACTCATTACTAAGTTTGGTACACTGCAATCATGGTTTCTGAATCAAGTCAAGTAATCTGGTTCATATGTCATACTGACCAAAATACCTGAATGCACATAATGCATTTTGTCAAAATATAGGTAATCCTTCTCTTATGACCAAGAAATATGACATTTCTTGCCATATTTGTTAAGTGAATCACTGCAGTTGTTAAGTTAGTAACAGGTTGTAAAGTGAATCTGGCTTCCCAATGACTTTGCCATTCAGAAGGTCACAAAAGGGGATCACAAAAGATCACAAAAGGGGATCACATGACCTCGGGAAACTGCATCAGTCATAAATATGAATCAGTTGCCAAGCATCTGAATTTTAATCACATGACCAGCTGCAACAGTTGTAAGTGTGAAAAACAGTTGTAAGAGACATTTTTCCAGTACTGTTGAAACTTAGAATAGTCACTAAATGAACTGTTGTAAGTCAAAGACTACCTGTATATAACATTATATGTACAGTAGTACTCATTTAGTGATCACAGTTGGGACTGGCTACTTTGTCTTTATAGGAAGCAGTTGCTAAAATCACGTGACTATGATTGTGCTTACAACTTTATATACAACAACATTTTCTGTAGTTGCCTGACAGTAATAGCAAACATGTACATGATGCTATGAAGGTGGTAAATGTGAGTGTTGGTTGCAAAGTTACTTTTTTATTACTTTGTTAAATGTGAATTACCACTGTCCAAGGCAGTTGCTAACTGAAGATTACCTGTAGATATTAGCTCCAAGTAGTAAATTTTGAGGGCTTAGAGGAATGATATGTTGAAATCTATATTATTTATCACCAAACTGAACAGATTTATACAAAAGGAAGAAGGAAAAGTATTCAAGCTGTAGTATAGTACAATTCTTCAAACTGATTGGAAAACCTAATAAAGAATAATGGGTTGTGGAGCTTCACATTTCCTTTTTATGAAATTAGCCCTCACTATTGACACACTGAGCATGAGTTTTAAGGGAGAGTCTCTGTGTTCAGCTGAACATACTTCAATCCTTTGCTTGGCCTATTCTTCAAAATGTATTACAAGAGACAGTGCCCAAAAGAGCAGCATAGGGCCAGGATTTTCTATCTTGATTCTTCTCAAATTTGTGCCCTTGGGCTCACTTTTGCTTATTTGCTTACTTAAGGAGCAAAGTCCTCTTCTAGATCTCTTCCTTGAAACCATAAATCAGCTGCAGCCATATTTGCACACAGAGAAAACACTATACTTCACCTCCTCAGTAGATGAGCTTTGGGGTATTGATATATATAGTTAGAAGATTTCAGGAATACTTCAAAGCAGCCCTGCAAATCTTTAACAGGCTGTGGTGTTTCATATCCTTAATGGGACCACTTCACCTCAGTGAATTATTTACATACAGTACATCTACTAAATATTGCTTAAATAAATGGAGCACATGTTTGTAACTTCTAGAAGCCTAGCCAATGATGCAACATGCTGGGGGCTGTATTTAGCTGTAGCTGAAGGTCCAAAGTTTCCAACTGTGGCCTGTATATATCTGTTCATATACACATAGACATGCATATATTTTATTGTCTTATTGCATTAATTTGTCAGAACTGAAATATACATAAATTATTCTTCTGTTTTTGAAAAGCAAAGCTCACCAGTGATTTAATAGTCAAACAATTGTTTTTAAAAACCAGCACATTCAAAAAAAAATCCTGATAGGGCTCTGAATTTATAATATAGAAATGCAGTTATAATTTATGCACTGAAGACAATCACAATCTATCTGTCCCTATAGGTATAGCAATGCTGATTAACTGTGTGAGTGAGATCTTGCTGGTTGCAAAAAATTTCGTTTTCTCACTATGAGGGGGAAATGAACATAAGCACACATTTTTAAAAAGAACTATGACACATAACATCTTATAATTGCATAGCATGTGTTCCTTAGCAGTGGTGTTTGAAGAAATCCTTATGTATGGTTTCCATATGAAACACAGGAAACCCACAGCATTATTTTTTTTTAAAATAGTAAGCTACAAAAAGCAGAGAGTGTGCAAATTATCTGGAGAGTCTCATTTTTCACTCTCTTTTTTTTTTCAAGCTAGCAAAAACAATACAGATGATGTTCAGGTTTCTGAAACTACATCAGAGCATGAAATTGAACCCTGGCAAATCCTTGTTTTTAATAAAGACTTGATTTGCCACCATCTGTTATAATGATAGATAAATGTCACCCAATACTCTTGATCATATAGTTAAAACATATCTTCAAACCAGACTACTGCTCTCAGTAAGTAATTTGTTTGGAAAGTTAATATGTTCAGTAAAAAGAATTTTGTTGGCAGTGTGTTCATGACATTTGATTCCTTGACAAGATTTCTTCTAACTTTTCATATGAGAGAAGAAAACATGAGAGAGAAACAGAAAGAGACAGAATGAATAATTGCATTTTTCTTTATTCCACTGTTCAACAGTCCTGCAACTTTTAAATTAATGCATTTTTCTTGTTTGAGATTTTATTCACCATTGAGGTGAAATGATTAATTAAGCACTCAGTGCAAAAAGTTTAAATGCTAAGCTTTTTCAGTGAAAACACTCACCGTAAACCATGGCCCCTCCTGTTTCGTGCAAAAAGCGGAATCTGTGATTTTTAAACAGCCAAATTGTAAGGATCGTGAGGATGAGCAAAAAATTAAAGACCAATAGCTCCACAGCACCCTGATGATAAAAATGGTCCTCATCTTTCATTGACTGCAATTTCTTCAACTTCATGTTGCTTTATTAACACTACTCTAAATACTTTCTTAACAAAGTAACTGAAAAATGCTGAACTAAAGAAAACGTCACAGGTTAAATCCTGAATGCCTGCTTTTATAAAAGAAAGTCTAGACAGCATAAAAAAGCACAACAAACACATCTGCTTTATTTGCAGCCTCTCGGCACACTGCCACAGCTGAGAATTCAACTGGATTCTGGTTACAACTTCCTGTTTTCTTCTTAAAGCTGTCCTCTCTCATTTTCTCTCTTGAAGCTTCATCAATGTTTTCCTTAGGGAAGGGAGGGACTGACTATGTTAAAAAACATAAATATATTATATTTAAGTCAAGTATAGTGGCCACTACTGTTTTAAATTTTAAAGCTTTATTAGCACGATAGCAGGACCAACACACTAACCCTGGGTTAAATTACTTAAATCACAGGCCTGGATTTACAGCATATCTTGTTGAACTATCTGTTGGAGATAATTTTTACTGCGATTCTGTAGTATCTGATCAAGACACTTTAGTCAGCATTGATGGTGTCCCAGTTCTTAAGTCTTGTGAGATCCTGCAGGACACTATGTTTTCCTCTGGTACTTAAAATTTCTGTGAAATCTCTGACCACTGGCAGAAACGTAATATGATGATGGCACCAAATTAAAAAAGCCATGGAAAACCTGAATCAGTCAGGATGGGACAAAACAAGATCAGATGAAATATAGTCAACATAGAGTTGCTATTTGTAAATAAACATCTAATCATTTGAAAATCTCTGACCTGATCATTACTATAATGATCCTACTTGGACCAGGATACCCTGGGTGACTGGTTTAAGGTTTAATATGGTTGAACAATTGTATCAGATTCAATGCTTTGGAACAGACTCAACATCTACAGTTAGTCCAGAATACAGCAGCCATACTGTTGGTGAAGCAATTCGACCAGTGTAGGATAATTTATTTTAAGGCTACAGCACTGCTTATAATTAAGCTTATAGACTCAGGGCAGAATGCCAGTTATCATTTATAAAACTGTATAAAATATGTCTATTTGTTCTAAGTAACTTAAGAGTGCCTACTAGGGTCAGTTTTCACCCCATCTGTTCTTTCAGGGTCTTCCACAGCTAATTCTTTGGAGGATGAATACTGCAAAATACAATACAATGTATGAGAAAGGAATGATTCAGCTGTCTAGTTGGCACCACTCTGCTTTTCAGGGCATAGCACTTCCCCCCCCAAAAAATATATATATATCTTGGGAAGATATATAAGAGAGTACAATCTGATAAAATAGCACATTATATACATTACTTGTTTGCCTTGCTTAAAGCCACAGAAGCATACCAAGCACACAAAAAATGAGGAAGATGAAGAAAAACTCCCTTCTCTCCAAGTTCCATTGGAGCAAAAATGAAGTGAATATAGATGAAGATAGACTATCTTGATGAAGACAATCTACTGGTGCACAGGATTGTTAGATGGTTATTTGAGAATTTAGCATGGATAAAATCTTTGTCTGCTTCTAATTATACCACTGGAATTGGTTCATTTTGGATCTTTTCCTTTCCCTGCCTCAGTTATCATCAGTGCATCAAACATAAAATTAAGTGTAATAGGGGAGGAGTTTGGAGGAGACATGCAGCTATGCATATAACTTGCTGGACTTGGGAAGATTAAAAAGGATCTGGAGATCATCATGCTTTCAGTGATATCATAGGGAGTGCATAAAAGTTCAGCATTGGATTTGAACCAAGGAAACTATTTTCTGAGTTTCTGAAAGAAGAGTTGGAGCATATTTCCAAGTTTCCATGTGGGGAGTTAACAGAAAATGGCTAAGTACGTATTTACTACATTCCACAACATTTTTTTCTTAAGCAGTGAATATAAGTTCAGCCATTGCTGATTAGCTCTCCATTGGAAATAAGTCCATCTCTTCTTTGGGAAATTTATGATCATATGTGAGCCAGACTGCTAAAATTAGATTATAAAGTAGGTCTTCCCTCATTATACAAAGCCCTTCTCCTGGTACTACTTATCCCACAGCCAAATCTAGCAAAGAAAGCAATATTGACCAAGGAACTGNAAGATGTTGAGACTCTAGAAAGAGTACAGAGAAGAGCAACAAAGATGATTAGGGGACTGGAGGCTAAAACATATAAGGAACGGTTGCTGGAATTGGGTATGTCTAGTTTAACGAAGAGAAGGACGAGGGGGGACATGATAGCAGTGTTCCAATATCTCAGGGGCTGCCATAAAGAAGAGGGAGTCAAGCTATTTTCCAAGGCGCCTGAAGGCAGGAGAAGAAGCAACGGGTGCAAACTAAGCAAGGAGAGAAGCAACCTAGAACTAAGGAGAAACTTCCTGACAGTTAGAACAATTAACCAGTGGAACAACCTGCCTCCAGAAGCGGTGAATGCTCCAACACTGGAAGTTTTTAAGAAGAAACTGGACAGCCATTTGTCCGAAATGGTATAGGGTTTCCTGTCTGAGCAGGAGGTTGGACTAGATGACCTCCAAGGTCCCTTCCAACTTTATCATTATTATTATTAAATATCCTGTACCTTAATAAATGTATAATAATAATAACAACAACAAAAACAACAACAACAACAACTTTATTGTCACTTTGAAAGTACACCATTTGGCATACATCAAAATGAAATTTCGTTGCATATAGCTCTCAAAGGGTCATCACCTCCTATGTACACTCCTTGTTCATGGCCAGCTCAAGTTACAGATCTTCCATTTTAGTCTCTAGGGAGTGAACGATGGCAAACAGGACAGATGGAAATGGAGCTCCATGTGAATTAGCCCTCAAATTAGCTTGTATTCCTGCACGACAACCTCGCCTCCTTTCCTTTTTCTGATCTTGTCTCTTCCACCTTTTCCTCAAAGAGTATTTGTTGCATTCAAGTATTACAGGCACCTAGGGAAGTTGGATAATTCAATTTGATCCATATTTTGGGTAATTAATTTGTACTCTAGTCTAAAAAGTGCATATCAGAATAATTATACTTAAGACTTAATTTTTCAGGGTTTTTTTGAGTTCAACATTTGTTCAAATCTGGAACCACCAAATGCATACATTTTGTTTAGGTTTAAAACAGTGGTGGGATTCAGCCAGTTTGCACCACTTCAGCAGAACCGGTAGCTATTTTTTTGTTGCCCAGGCCCAGAATGGACTTCCGGAAGCGATATCCACACAGAGAACCAGTTGTTCACAAATTTGAATCAAGCCACTGGTTTAAAAACTCCCATGGTGATATAGAAATGTGATCGTGTAGGTGTTCTCTCTCATATATACACACACACATACACACGCTAAGTATAGACCAGTATAGGTTGAACTGAATATGCCAACAGTCTTCTGTTAATATTGGCTGTGATGTGATATGCCAGTGATGGCGAACCTTTTAGAGACCGAGTGCCCAAACTGCAACCCAAAACCCACTTATTTATCGCAAAGTGCTAGGGCCACATCAGCATTGTGGTGCTCTTAGGGGGAGTGTGTGTGTGTGGCCCACTGGGTGGGCATGGTCGCTGGGTGGGCATAGCTGCAGTGGTCATGGCAGATTGGGTGGGTATGGGCGGGGTGGGTGGGCCAGGACAGGGTGGCAGGGACCAGTCCCTCCCCATCTCCAGAGCATCCCCAGGGGGCCAACACCGCTTGCTCGCTCACTTCCTGCCCCGTCGCTTCCAACATCACATGCTGGCTACTCTGGCAAATTCTGCTGGGGCGAAGGCATGCATGCCCACAGAGAGGGCTCTGAGTGCCACCTCTGGCACACGTGCCATAGGTTTGCCACCACTGTATGCCATATTTCAATTTATGCAATAAATAGTGTTTATTTTTATTTCAATTGCTCAGGAATAGTCCAAAAGTTTTGGTATGCTATGCAATAAAAATATAACAAGAATTTGATATCTCATCCATCTGCTTTCCAGAATNATAAGTTCAGCCATTGCTGATTAGCTCTCCATTGGAAATAAGTCCATCTCTTCTTTGGGAAATTTATGATCATATGTGAGCCAGACTGCTAAAATTAGATTATAAAGTAGGTCTTCCCTCATTATACAAAGCCCTTCTCCTGGTACTACTTATCCCACAGCCAAATCTAGCAAAGAAAGCAATATTGACCAAGGAACTGAATTGGTGTCCTTCACTTTTTCCAGAATTAATTCTTCTATAAATGATTTCAGATTTAGCTGGAAATCTTATAGTAGTAGTAGTAGTAGTAGTAGTAGTAGTAGTAGTAGTAGTAGTAGTAATAATAATGATGATGATGATAAAGTTGGAAGGGACTTTGGAGGTCATCTAGTCCAATCCCCTAGATGTTCATGTTTTAAATGCCAGTAAAGATTCCCATGGGTTGGAGAAGAATTTTACAAATGGAGGAATATCGAAGAGAGGCAGGATACTGATAAACATAACCTCATAAGAAAAATCTCTTTAATATTTCTTGACTAGTTCTATTTCAGAACAGAAGAGAAATAACCAATGAAAATCCTTCAGCTTTTATCTCTAGCGATTTGTTAAAAATCAGGAAAAAAAATCTGTGAAGAAAACTCTTTAAAGAAAAATAAGAGCTAATTCAGAAAGGTGTCAAATAATTCCATGACCAATTTGTCAATTATTATGTACAACTGGCAATTGCTGAATATATATATATTTTTAAACATGAGATTTTATATACAGTTTGGGTGTAACATTTAAACCACATGTATTATTTTCTGAACATTTTCATTGTATTAATATGGGTTTGATCCAGAAATTTCATTAAAGTTTTTCTTTTGTATTATTATTTTAATTTTAAATATGTAAAATATGGACTACTATCAAAGAGTAAGTTCCATCCAAATAAGTGTTGTTCCATCTTTTGTTCTACTACAGCTCTAATATGGAATAACACAGTGCTTTAAGAACTTTGGACTGGAATTCATGAGAACACAATTCATTGGTTATTTCTCTTCTGTTCTGAAATAGAACTAATCAAGAAAAAGTCAAAGAGATTTT